TCAATTTCAATCGTTTTTATCCATTTTGTAAAGGAAGGAGTGAGTTGCACTAATGTTTAACTCAATTTTTAATTTAAAAAAAGTATAATATTTACAATGTATAATATAGCAGCTGAATATGTGTTCGGACACCCGTAAACAGCACATCGTTTGCCTTCTTGATAGGAGCTCATTTCATCTCTTAAATTGGAAAAAGGTAATTTATTTGTTTGTAGCACTTTGCTTATACAATTAAATAAAACCAGTAAGCAACGATGGAACATACTATATCGATATCTGAAGAGCGTTAAACTTGTGACATTACAGATGTGGGCTGGCATTATCGAGGCGATCGCCGCTGAGGCAAAGGCGTGTTTTTTTTCTCTCTCAGAAAAATCGGAATTTAACGGAAACGGAGGCCATCACGACGTTTGCGCTTTTTAGCCTTTTATTGTTTTATGTGCAGTATTTTCGTAGCATAATATAGCAAATCATTTTAGGTATACTTAAACGCTTTTACATATTTGACATTGAATGGTAGTCTACGTAATTCTATTGATTAAGCTTCATAGCCCTTCCTCTTAACATGCTTCTGGCCAAATTACATCACCCTGGGCCCTTTGGTTGTTCTGAAGAAGTTGAGGAATTTTTAAAACATTTGACCCCAATGACCCTGAATATATTTTCATTTTTTCAGGTGAACTGCCACAGAGGAAAATGAGACCACAACATTAAAAAATTGTTGAGATGAATCTGTGTTCGTATGCATCGTGCACAATTTACGTATATTTCTTGAACCATGGCTGATAAAGTTTGTCTTGCTGTTTTAATTGCTCAATTGTAATATTATTTTCTATAGCGAGTGATGGACTTGACTGACAATCTGAAGGAGCTGAAAACCGTCTTACCTACATTTGGTTGTTGCAATGTCGTATAATGTTGAAGATAGTTTCAATGTTTCTAAAATAATTACTATATACCGGGTAATTTTCGCTGCGGTTTTAAATTTTCGCCTTTCCCCCCTCTTTACAAAGGGCGAATGCATCATTACCGCGGACATTTGGAAACAACATAACATACATAGTAATAAAATGTGTAGGCTGTAATATAGAATATAATATAAAATGGAATTTAAAATTTGGCGAAAATGGATTTCTAAGAGCAAAAATGTGACTGTGATTATTCAAAGTTCAACAAATTGACCTTATAAGTTTGGTCAATACTATTAGCAAAGATGCCAGAAAATAAAATGTATGATGTTCACAATCAAAATGTATAGGTCAACGCAAATTCAAGTATAAGCCTCGTATGATCCAGTCGTTTGCGAAGAGTGGGATAGCAAATTTAATGATATACTGTATGAAACCAAGAAGACGTTTATAGATAGCATCTCATTAATAAAAAAACTAATTAAAGTAAGATATTATTAACGAAATAATCAGAACAGATTATATGATAAATTATATTTTGTGCTTAGGTAGCATTAAAGCTGATAAAGGGGAAACAATTACTTTTAAAGGATACATGCATGGGATCTATATCGAAAACAACTGAAACTCTGCGTTAAATCTGTTTACACGGGAATATTTGCACTCAATATAAACTGTAATTTTAAAATGTCACTTGCATACCAATGAAATGTAATATTTTAACTTTCTTATTGTACAAATGCACGTTCACAATGCCATTTTATACTAAAGTTTGAGCAAAGGCCGGCCATATAGAAGGACCGTTGGCACCACCTTGGAAAAGACGAATATTAACTCCAATTGGAAGAATAACAATTGTAAAATCCCTTCTGATATCCCAAATGAATCATCTTTTTATAGCATTACCAAACCCTGATGAAGTTTTCATTAAAACATTGAATAGTATTATATACGAGTTTGTGTGGAATATTAAAACAGATCGTGTCAAAAGAGATGTATTAACAAAATGTCCAAACGAGGGAGGGGGCACTGAAGTCAACATGGATAAGAAGACTATACAGAGATACAGAGAAACCAATAATTGGGTAAATATGTTTAATAATGCTTTTAATACCGACTACCTAGCAAATTGTGGAATACAAAACATCAAGGCTACCTCTAATAATACAACAAATTTATTTTGGAATGATGTTTTAAAAGCCTGGTTTGCTACTGTTTTGGCGAGCAAACAATATGAAAATAATATATTGGAAAATCCTTATGGTATAATGAACATATCAAAATTGGCGGGCAAACAGTGCTCTATAAAACCTGGTACTCTAAAGGAATAACACATGTACATAATATGATTAGACATGATGGATCTATTTATTCACATGAAGAGTTTAATACCAGATATGATATCAGGACAATTTTTTTTAACTTATCAGGGAATGGTTGCAGCTATTCGCAAATATGTTGATCTAATGTACATGAGAGGTTATTTTTACCTTTTGTACCTATAAATTTAAAATTAGTTTTAAAAAGTACAAGAGGAGCACAGGATGTATATCAAGTACTCATTAAAAACAATACTCAACCAGCTGCACAGGTAGAATGGGATCTCTCATTAGGAATAGTTGTGGAAGATTGGAGATTAGTTTACAGATGTCTTTTTGAGACCACTGAAAACTCAAAGCTTTTATGGTTACAATATAGGATAAACCATAGAATTTTGACTACTAATTCATATACACAAAAAGTTGGTTTAACTGAAAATGGAGATTGTACTTTTTGTAAAACAGAAAGAGAAACTATAATACATCTTCTGTGGGAATGTGATAAGACCCGGGAATTACTCCAAAATTTTCAAGTTTATTTAAATACACAAAATATTGATTTAGTTTTTGAAAAAATTATGTTTCTGTTTGGCAAATATAGAGATAATCAAAAGGCTCATATAGCAGATAATTATTTGCTACTTATAATAAAACAATATATTTACAATTCTAGATGCTTGAAGAAAGATTTACAATTGAATATTTTGAAAACTCACATACAAATGGGAATTAGAATACAAAATCTTATATACAAACAGAAAAATAAATGTGATGAGTTTCAAAGGATATGGGGCAAATGGTCTCTGTTCTTAGAATAGATATATGTGGTTTTTTTTCTCGTTTTTCTTTCTGGCCAGCTGCTTTTGCCTTTGCCTAGATTTCCATCTTTACTTTTTTATGTGTAGGTACGAAAGAATGTTTCTTCACGGCTCGATATATATGTATGCTGCATTATTACGCATACATGTGGTGCAGGTGTATAGGCGTGGATGTGTGTGCAGATGTATGTACATGCATGTATGAATGATGCATGTATGTATATGCAGTGTGTGTGGAGTATGTATGTATGTGTGTGTGTGTGTATGTATGTGTATATATGTTTGTATCTTGTGTGTATCTGTTGTATGTATATGTGCTTAAGCATACTTTTGAGTATAGGAATGTGGGCCTAATTATGTACTAAGGCTTATATGAATTGAAGGTGAGACGGTGTGGAGACAGGAGCACAGATGTGGATATATGTATGTATTTGATTTGTGTTTGAAATTACTTGTATAATATGTTGATGTATGTCTAATATGTATATGTCTATGTAATGAAAAAAAAAAAAGTTCTGCCTGGAGATACCTGCAAAAAGACTGAGTATTATACAAATGGGTTTACAAGAACATTTTTTGTTTATCAAACCCCTAAGCGACGCGAAGCGCATGAAAGCATGAAAGCCTTCTTGCAAACTGTGACTTCATACTATTTACAAAAATATAATAGTGAACCCCTACAATATCCGTATTCATTCCATTTTACCAGAGAAATATATTGAATTCTCCTTTTGATAAAATCCTTTCTCTTCACTGCAGTCAAGATACAATTATATACGAAATGAAGCGAACGTAAAACCACTCGAACAAACAAACATTGTGCGTACAAAGATTTCGCTACTGTTTAGCATGGAGTGACACAGTGTCAACCATGTAAAACTATAGCAAATGTCACATGTACGAAGAATTCATTTCACACTTATCATATCATATCAAACTACGTCAAACTGTGTTAATTATGTTAGGATCCGAAAGGAGCATTTTATTGTATGCATGTTCAATTTGAAAAACATGGAATGTTTCAAACTTTGCTCACACTCCCGTGAAAATATTAACAAATCAAGGTATATAACTTGAGTTATGCTCAAAATAGCAATGAAAGGTCCTTTCATGTTCTTTGTTTCAATATGCACTCGACAGGGACAATTTCCCAAACTGGTTGAACATCTCAGATACCCAGTTTATAACAATACAAGAATTAAATTACATGGCCTCCTGTTCTATGCAGATAGCAATTAAGCTTGTGAAACTACTAATAAATTTAAAAGACCTTTCCTTTTTCTAAACTGCAATATACTATTTTACATTAACACATTAACCACAACTTCAAACTTTACACTACCAATTATGCCTTATCGGACAAATTATATATTTACATTTGCTCTGCATTGCCACTTTATAACACTACCAAGGCCAGTTCCGTATTATGAGACCATAATACAGGCGTAGTGATATGAAAAATACATGTTGGTGTATAGTCCAAACGTCTGTGTGACCTGGGTGAACTGATAAAAAAAAACCTGTTAGGAATTTTAATGAAAGTGCTTAATTAAGTTAAAAATAAAATTAGTTTTTATTTGTGGGGGGTGGGGGATGGGTAGGGGATTATATCAAACCATAATAATGTGTTCCGAAGAAAAATACTGACGTTGTTTGTGTTGACGTCACAAAACACGTCACAGGGGAAAACGTCGTCTGCAAAACAGCTAATGGTGTGTATGATGGCCTTTTAAAGAAGACAAGATTTGGGTTATCAAAACCAGTTGTTCACAAGAAAGTTTTAGAATCTTAAGATCTGGAGAAAATAGCTACTTACCTCAAAAATGCACCCAGCTCCCCAATGACTCATTTATTCAATCAGTACACCGAAGAATCTGTGCTCTGTCCTACTCATGCCCAAATCTGATTCACTGCTAAAATGTTAGCAAAAAGAACTTTCTCTTCATTCTTGACAGATATTTGCAAGGCCGCGTCTGTAGAAACAAAATACACCAAAAACTGCCTCCGAGCAACATCTATCCAGTTGTTAAACGACAAGGGTTACGAAGCCTACCACATAATGATTATGAGTGGTCACAAAAGCGAAGCGTCGCTGAGATCATACATTCAAAACATGTTCACAACTCAAAAGAAATCATTAAGTACGACATTATCATCCATGACCGGAGATAGTGAGCCCCAGCAGGTGCAGTCTAATAACGCACTAGTCCTTCCCTCTAAATCACAGTCGGCCATTAGTAGTAGCACAGTGACAAACTGATAGTTTTGATTTATGTATTATATAATAAAAAAAAATGGGTTGCAGGTTTTCAAACATGTGGTGCCGACAGTCCAGTTGCCTGTATTGTCTATAAAAGTCACCTGTCATCCACCTTGGCAATGGCAACTTTTGATAAAGCAGTAATTATCATACGGAACCCACTGTACTCGTTGAAATCGTGGTTTCATTACAAATACGGAGAACAGGAAGACAAGAAACTAAAAGAACGAAACAGAGTAGAAAGACACAAGGATTTTGCAAACAAATCAGTGTTTCTATCACCAAGTAAGTAGAATAAGCATAAACTACAATAAGGATTCACCTGTAAAAAAACCGAAATGACGTATTTTGCGAAATAATAAGTATTTGTAACCAGGTATCTCAGTGGTCTATAAGGAGTGTTTGTAACCAGAGATCACAGTGGTCCATAGTTAAAGTTAGTAACCAGCTATCACAGCGGTCTATGGTGAGTGTTTGTAACCAGGGATGACCGTGGTCTATAGTGAAAGTTAGTACCCAGGTATCACAGCGGTCTATAGTGAGTGTTTGTAACCAGGGATCACCGTGGTATGTAGTGAAAGTTTGTAACCAGAGCTCTCAGTGGTCTATAATGAGTGTTTGTAACCAGGGGTCTTAATGTTCCATAGTGAGAGTTTGTAACCAGGTATCTCAGCGGTCTATAGTGAGAGTTTGTAACCAGGGATCACCGTGGTCTATAGTGAAGTTAGTAACCAGGTATCACAGCGGTCTATAGTGAGAGTTTGTAACCAGGTATCTCAGTGGTCTATAGTGAGAGTTTGTAACCAGGGATCTCAGTGTTATATAGTAAGTGTTTGTAACCAGGGGTCTTTATGTTCCAACGATGAGTGTTTGTAACCAGGGATCACAGTGGTCTATAGTGAGAGTTTGTAATCATGTATATCAGTGGTCTATAATAAGTGTTTGTAACCAGGGGTCTTAATGTTATATAGGGAGTGTTTGTAACCAGGGGTCTTTATGTTCCAACGATGAGTGTTTGTAACCAGGTATCTCAGTGGTCTATAGTGAAAGTTTGTAACCATGGATCTCAGTGGTCTATAGTGAGAGTTTGTAACCAGGTATATCAGTGGTCTATAAGTAAGTGTTTTTAACCAGGGGTCTTAATGAACTATATTTTTTTGTGATCAGTTATCTCAGTGAACTATATTTGTCCGGATCAGGTATTTCAGTGGTATATAGGTAGTGCGTCTGACCAGGTATTTTAGTGGATTATAGTTCCTGTTCGCGACCAGGAACATGAAACTCAGTGAACTGTTATTAGTGATTGTGACTAGGTATTTATTTTATTTTATTTTATTTTATTTTTTTTGAAACAAAAGAGCTTTTACAGAAATTGAGGAGGAGGAGGGGNATTTCATGACTCTGTTTTCCCTCTTAGTCAACAAATATGTAGTAGTGTGACAATCTTCAATGTATTATCGTAGTGGGGAAATGATAACCAACTAGGGAAGAGGGAAGGAGCAAAAGAGCTTTTTACAGAAATTGAGGGGGGGGGGGCTGAGAAGACAACAAGGGGTCCAAGTGGTAAAGATGTTGAGTCCATGTGTGTCCATTTATTAGTGCAACTATTTATTTAACCTGAAACATAATAATAATTTTAATTTCTTCAGTAAAGTGTCAGGGAGTTACATTTCTCTCTTTTAATCAAAATGTAACTAACAGAGGTAAAATATACACATGTATGCCATCCTTTTTGGGTTTGTCAGGGATTGGGAGTGATTTCTAATAATTTATTCCAATTCTTCGAAGAATTTTCCATTGACCAGATATCTTAGTGGATTATAGTTACTGTTCGTGACCAGGAACATGTAACTCAGTGAACTATAATTATGAATTATAATATGAACAACAACAAAAAAGATTATATGATGAATGGTAATTTGTGCATAGGTTTGCATAACAATTATGTATATCAGCCAGTTAAAAGTAAATGAATACAAATTCAACGAGCTTTGCATCGTAAAACTTAACCTCAAACTAAAAAAAGGAAAACAAATCTTTCAAACGTGCATACACGGGATATTCATCGAAAACAACTGAAACTCCGCCAATAACGCCAAATTTTTTAATTTTAATTGATGTGTTTACACCGGACTATTTACACTGAATATTAGCTGTAATTAGTGAATCGTTCAGATGGATAATGTCACTTCCATACCAGTGAAATTGATAAACTAAATCACTTATCCTACAACTGCACCTTCACAATGCCATTTTATACTTACGTTATTAGTTTGAGTAAAATCAAGACATAGAAATGGACCATTGGCACCAGCTTGGCGTACACCCATAAATGTGGCAGTCAATCAGAGGCCAAATTGGCCATGTTTGATGACTGATTGAAACTGAAACGCGATGCGCACATCTTCACGACCCGACCATTATTTATGCTCACGAAATTTTGTTGCATAATCATTGGGCTAGTAGTCTCCTCTTTACTACCCTTGCAGTCGGTAAAGCAAGTGTCAATCGTAGATGGATCTCGGAGTAGAGTTTCTGAATATTGACAAATAAAAAACCAGTGCATGTCGACCATATGGTCTAAACGCGAAATTGTAGTTGCGGTAAAGTTTGCATTGCCATCTAATTTAATAACCAATTTATAAAGCGGTCATCCTGAATTCCTTTTAAGTAATATACAAAATTAACAATCATCAAATTTCAAAAAAAAATTGTAAAATGTATCTTTTACATACTCTAGAAGCATAAGCTGGATCCACCTTTGTAGCATTTACTATACCTTAACGATGTGGCTGAAAATGACCATCAAAATAAAACAATGTTAAATACTTCAACGGTAAGCTGTTTTTCGATCTACAGTCTATTTTTCGGGCCATTTATTAAACAGATAGGTAATGGCATCAATTCCCAAAATATATAGAATATTCGCATACAAACTGATCATATAAAAAATGACAACTTTACAATATTGTTTCGGCAAATGAGAAAGAAAATCTATATCATCCCGTATAAAACGTCGAAATAATAGTTTTCAGTAGCAAGTCTAAAAAATGACTTAAATGCTTTGTAAAGCTTGCCCGCCACTATCACTAGGACTGAATTTAGGATCATTGGAAGATTTCAGGAAAACGACATGTAGATGTGATTTAAGGACTTCCCACCCTTCGTAATACACATGTTTTTCTTGTCGTATTTTCGTGTCGTCATTTCCGTATTGCGTATCGGGCATTCCATTACCGTAATGTAAATTATAGTAACACCGGGTAAGCAAAAGTACACGTGCGTGACGATGATATGTCAACACCCGACATCGAGACTTAACTTGGAAATGTGTAATCACACGTACTTCAGAAATAAAGCCTATGATACCAAGTCATTAATTAGCTCACGGGAAAACACTGAAAACACTGACATAAGATCAGACAACTTCAAGAAGGTCGTATATGAGGCGCATGGAATGCAGACTGATGTGTTTTGTTTACCGACCTCACCTGTACGTATCACGTGCTAACAGTAGTTCACAAGCTCTTGGTCGCTACGACTTTTGTTGTCAAGCGAGTTACGCTCTGTCAGATAAATCGGTTCACAAATGCAATAACAATAACTCTGAAAATAGTGGTTTGTAAAATATCACGATCCCTATAAAATGCAAGTGCATGTGTGTGCACGTAATAACGGCATACCATGCGATAGCCTATGGTTACATATGTACCTGACGTGTTAACATAACATGCGTAAGCGGGCTATGGAATGATGTCCAAAGTGTACATGATAGAGAGTAATTGGTTTAGTAAAGAAAATAAGTGTCATTGTATAAATTCTATCCCTCTGTAAAAGGTTCCGATTTCTTTCTTCAGGGTAGACAACACTCACCAGGATCAAAATTATTGTAAAATGTAAAATAAATTAATTTCTAAGACTTTGTGTGTATTTGGTTCAATTTTTCACTCTTTTTGTATGATACTATGCGTCCTGTTTGCTTTTAGCTTTTATTTAGCAACTTTTATCCATACAATTTCAAAAAAAAAACGCTTTTTGTAACATGTTAGATTTTTTTGAAGTTTTCACAAAGAGCTATGTATGAGATTTATAGGTATTTTGAAGCTTTTCATTTCCATCTAAAAATATCATAAATATAACAAATACCTCTTTGTGACATAAGCTTGATTATCATGGTGTGACAAATGTTAGATGTTATGTGAAGCTTTCAAATATCTCTCGAGACCAGCAACAAACTTTTTAAAGTACAACCGAAACTTAAAACATATATTCCCAGTCGGAAAGATCGTCGAGAGGAAATTGTCCTCTCTCGGCCCCGTACTGGGCATACATATCCTACTCATTCGTACCTTTTAAAACGAGAAGATCTACCTTCATGCCTCGCATGTGACACACCATTTACAGTGGAACATTTTTTAATATAATGTTCCGAATTTAAACACATTCGTGATAACTACTTTCGAGTCCCGGTTATGGAAACTCTTTTCAGTTCCGGGGACTTGAAGGCATTACTTAACTTTTTGAAAGACATCGGTCTATTCTATAGACTCTGGTGTCTTTTAACCCACCGTACCCTTTTTTGACGTTATATGTATCACCTAGTCTATATCATCTATTCGTTATCTCTTTTATTATTTTAACCCCCTTTTTATTTTATTTATCTACACAAACAATGCGAATGCATTTAAAATGAACCTTTTTTCTGATTTTATCTTCGCTACTCACATGTTTGTTTAAAAAATAAAATAGATTAATAAATCACCATGGCCCTAACTGACCACAGCTGTCGATGGGCCGTTGAACCCAAACAAACAAGCAAACAAAAGATTTCAAATAACTTCTCAAATGGATGTTTTATGTACAACACTTTTATCGCAGGCAAAAAAATCACTAGAGTATTTCACTGTTTTTTTTATAGGAATGATATCTCCCTCTTTAGTTTGTTATGTATATAACTGTGACGCGACTTGGCTAGGCTGTTGACTAGGTAGTTCAGTTGG